GTAATGTACTGACTTATGCACTGAACATGAAGGAGTAAGTATGGTCACCAAGCAATTGTATCTCTTAGTTTTGATGATATTCCACTCCCCATAGTTTCAAGGCCATAAATTAACAAGGAATGCATTTATTACTATGAATAAATCCATACAAGACGTATATTTTCCTAATAGCCATGCCATATGCTTTTATGAATGTGCTGCAAATATTTTTTGATTTATACAAAAAATATGAGTTTGTACTTAATTAATTTGTACGGCAGTATTAATTTGTTTACAACGACTATTACTTATACCTCGACTGTAATGCATTTTTCCTTAAGGCAAAGCAAAGCTTCCGTAAGGCAAATCGCGTTCATAATTGAGGCATGAGCTATCCCAAATATTTTAAATTTATTAATTCTATTAGTAACCCCGAAATAATTGCTCAATTATTGATAAGACATCATGACATACTGCAACCCCCATGTTAACGAGAAACCCCAAAAATCAATAAATAAGGCATTTGGCAATAAATAAGGTGGTGTTTTTTTGCGGGGCGTAATTGGTTGGTGTAGTAAAAGTAATTTTAAGTGGTGCGTAAAACGTAATTTTAGACTTAAGACTGGGGGAGCGAGCTGGTCTAGTGGTTAGAGCGCGGGACTCCGGTTTCTGTGGTCCCGGGTTCAAATCCCACCAAATCACCAATGGGTTTTATCTAAGTGATAATGCCGTAACCCCTAGGTCTATCCTGGATTAATATGAAAAACTATTCCAGGCTCGTGCCTATAGTCCTAGGACAAACAAAAATAGTAGGTTTACTTTAAACAAATATCTTAGTCATATTGCTGATTTATATTCTATGTTACTCATATTTTAAATTTGTTTTCTATTTCATAGATTACTAGCTATTGCCCGTTTGCTTCGCACGACATACTTTTTAGTTTCATTATGAACCTGCTGAAGTTGTGACTTTACTACGGGCTAACATGAGCTTTTACATGTTTGTTTTCTGTATAGTTATTAGGGATTGAATTATTTCTTATACAGCATAGTCACCCAAGTTAATTAGGCAACTTCTAAAGTTCAACTAAGGGAGAAATTCTTCATTTGAGAAATAACTGCCTTTCTACCGAAAGCTTCGAACTCAAAATCGGAGGCCGAAAGCGACGTATTAATTGCTGTCCATGCCAGTTGCCATCGTGATTTAAGGACCGAGCAGTTTTTTACATCCCTAGGGCCGAAAATCATGTCTTAAAAAATGTCTTAATTCATTAATGCATATTTAATACACAATCATTGTCCATAGTATTGCAATAGAACTGTTTTATTGCCAACGTTGCCTAGCAAATATTTATTATTATTTTCACGGATTGTTCGAATTATTTCTTCACATAACTGTTTTAGTTGTGTTGACTGTTAGTGTTTATTATTATTGTGGTGAATAGCAGTAATAGGGTATAGTGTGGTGAAAAAAACGTTGGTACCACGGACCAAAATGGTTTTGCAGCTCTCGATCGTTGTAAGTTCTCGACTTCGTCTCGAACTTAAAAACTACCTCGAGCCGACAATACCTCATAGGCTACGTATACTATTTTGTTTTAAGATTTAACCCACTTATTATGTACCAAAATGTGTGTCTAGGTGTGTGAATTTGCAAACTAGACTTAAATTTTAGAAAAAGTCCCTTGGGCTCGTCCCAATTGCTTTTAAACTTCCCATGTTATTCTTATGAAGAACACATTTTGTTTACATTATGATCAGCTGGATAATTTAATTGTTGTTTATAGCCTATTTTAGTTGCAGGGAAACGTGTGCTGCAAAGAATATATTTCAATATTTAATAGTACCAAGATGCACATCTATATTGTACATCTACGAAATCAGTAATTTATATAACCACTTATTGTAAATTGTATAATTTTACCGGGAAAAACAGGTTTTTGCTACTAGTCATCTTTAGTTATTTTTCTTTCAAAATTCCTGACATGGGTACTTTTTAGATTGTCCCAGGTATAGGCCCTGAAAGAGTTATCACGAAATTTACGGCGTATAAACCTATTCCATGACATTCTATAATATGTACCAAGTTTCGTGGCCATCGGTCCAGCAGTGTCTGAAATTATCACTGTCAAATATTTACAAAAACCAACATCCTCTTTTAATGTAAATTATATATAAAGCTAGTTATATTCGCTTGCACCAAAATTAAATTAAATGGCTCTTTAAAACACGTGCCACTTATAGTTAATCTATTTGAGTGTGTTGATATGGTTATTAGTGCAACGTGTACAAACCTATCACGCTGAGTTTTCTTGGAAATGTGGAAGTACACTTAGGAGGTTGCATCAGTGGTGGTGTGTAAGCTTACTTCACAGTGTAATGTTATAGTTGAAAGCATTTAAATACCGTACTCTTCTCATTAGATTGTTTTGAATCGACATTACAATGTTTAAGATACTTTGTATATACACCTTATACACGTTAAATTTTGTTCTTTAAAAGAAACATCACTTAGTACAAAATTTAACTAGCTTCTTGATCAGCATCGTACGAGTAAATCAACAACAACAAAAAATAATAAAAAAACAATAAAAAGTAAAAGTGTTCACTTTCAGAATGGATGTAATCTTTAAGACATTCCATCCCCATGTTAAATGTGTAGCCAGTTTTTTTTTTTTTTTTTTTTTTTCTCTCTTTTCAAAATTGTCTTAGTTTATGTGAGCCACCGACAGATTGTGCTGATCTAAACTTAAATTAAACGTAAATTACTGATTTCTGCCTAATACACAATATTTTTTACAAATTTATAATTTCCAATTCTCTTAATTTCATACTATATAAGCCTTATAATAAGCCTAATAGTATAACGAACAATTAGGTACTATACCGATTATTAATATGTATTCGTAACAGCAACGGTACATATCTCCTTGGTTGGTTGAGCAATATCACTGAGGGACACATTTGATAATAGATAAGAGAAGGTAATCCATTAATCTTGTCTTATCACATGTCATGATCGCTGGCACCGAGACATTGCTTGCTCATATCAAGCAACCACAGCAGTCTAGTTTAGTAATATCTTGCTCTACATTCAATCACGTCTAACTTGCAGTGCCTAGCATGACAATGCTCTTGAAATAGTATATTATATAGTTCGTTTAATACACTAATAACAACTTTAACAAGTAAGTGCACAAGGAGCAGCTTAAACAAACTTATTCAGTAGCACTTATGGTAAAAGTATCCACGTAATATATATATTTCATTATTAGTTTCAACAATGATCCTACACAAAATTTTTAAGAGATTCTTTTTATTAGTGATTTATTAATAAAACTTTACTGTTTTAAGATGATTTGAAAAATACTTTACATAAATTATAAACGGATTGTTTTAACTGCCTACCTTCAAATATGGCATACAAATATGCTTCTGTATTAACGTCTGACTCCTTAAAATAATATAACTCGTATGGATTTCAATGTACTGTACAAAAAACATACAAAAGACATTAACTGAAATATATTTTTAAAGTACTTAACCGACTCACAGTTATATGATAGTAAAATATGTTATAATTTTTACTATCCATAGAAAGCTTGATTTGATTGTTATCTTTCTATCAAATAAGACAATGTTAAATTAACCAACTATTTAGATTGTTGTGATTTAATTTGTAAAATGTTTCTAAACACATTTTTCTATAAAAGTGTGTCATCAAATATTCCACCAACTCTGTCCATACACAATACGATTCCGCTGGACTGATGGAATCGTTGACCCTCAGGCGACATCGGTTTTATATCGAATTTCAGAAACATGCATTTAAAGGGCCACTTATGTAGATACCGTCAAAATGAATATGAGCTGTTTGCCTTCATTTATTCCTACTCAGTATATTTGTTCACTTACCAATAAATTAGGTTCTCGATTAGCTATGCACCTTAACAAGCCAAATTGAGGATTAAATTGGTTTTTTATAATAATTGAACATTATTTTATATAACATATCGTTAAAGCTATTAGGTCATTTACCGAAAAAGGAAACCATCTATTATATTATTAATGTGATACAATCGAATTGTATGTAAATGGTTAAGGTAATTTACCAAATACAAATATAGGCATAAGGCACATCAAAATGAAGCTTAGATTGTGTAGATTTGCCGAAAAGTATTGATATGGACGAATTTCCTAAGGGCTCTACCCCACAGGCTGATTTCTAAAGGGCTACGCCTGGCATGCTTCCAATGTTTAAATTATTTAATTAAATTTAGTTAATGAAACAGCTGGTCAGTACAATGAACTGGTGTTTGTTTATTTACTCGAAGAAGATGTTCGTGACGCTTTAGAGGAGGTTTATGCGGTTGTATACGTTTTGTAAAGTATTGATCAAAGTTTCATTTTTTTTAATTTATATAGTAAGCTACATGTGAAGAGGCTTGACTTAAATTGAAGAAATCTGGTAAACCATGCCATTCACGAAGCATCAATATGATGCAATTGATGCTGTTGCTACACTAAGGTATGTTTTCATATTCTTATGGATCTATTAACATCGAAATCAGGGGTTTGAAAGAAAGTTGGTTTGCGCCTTTAAATCAGTTTATATTTTCAAACCAAATCATAGAGTTGCTGTATTTTAAAACACACATCAGCACCACTTTAATAGCTCTCCAGGTCAAATTTTCTTCCCGTTGCAATAATGGGTATAGCAGCTTGCTGTTAATTAATTGTCTGTATGAAGATTTTAAGTTAAACCAGACAAAAGATGCAAATGCATTTTTTCATTGAGATGCAATACTTTCAAAGATACTTACACGCACAAGATTGTTTCAATGGTCCTGTTCTATTTCTTATACAAGAATATTATTCACACATCTTGCTTGAACAAACTCTATTTTCAAACTAAACTAATGTTTACAAACACATCTGACAACAAACATATTTAAACATATGATAAAAGGAACAGACTTAATACAACATCCCGCTTCAAGATGTCCACATCTTTATGAACCTCAGTACCGCCTCGGTTTCTTAATGGACCTTCCGTAACGGGTTACTGTGCCAGCTCCTGGACGATCACGCGAGTTGCATGGACGATTAAGGACCATGGATGAACAGTTTGAAAGAATTCCATCTCCTCCGTAGTACGGTGCAGGAACTAAGAACTTCCTGTTTCGGCGAATAGTTCTCTTGTCAGTTTCCACAAGGTAGGAACGTGGTTCGTTCAATTTCCTGACTACCTTACCGTGTCGACGTAGATCTGTGATCCATACCATGCTTCCAACTTCTAATTCACTTAAACCACTCGCTCCATGTCGTTTATCAAATTGTATCTTGTACTTATTCTGGTACTTATTCTCCCTCTCAAGAAAATTCTTATTTTCCACAGGATTTCCAACCAAAGTAGATGGAAGATTGTCTCTTAATTTCCTTCCAAACATAAGTTCAGATGGGGAAAAGCCGGTTTCAAGAGGTGAGGTCCGGTAAGAAAGTAGGGCAAGTTCAAATGTATCCTTGTTTTTCTTCATTAGCCCTTTTGCTACTTTCACAGCTGCTTCAGCTGCCCCATTTCCCTGATGGTGGTGGGGACTACTTCTGAATGTGGAGAACCCCCACTCCTTTGCAAACAATTTAAATTCACTTGAGTCAATATGGTGAAATTGTGTCCCACTATCTGAATACACACGTTGAGGAATTCCAAAACGTGAAAATGTGGTTTTGCAAACCCGAATCACATCTGAAGCCCTCATTCGATGCATTTCCTCGACTTCAAAGTATCTTGAGTAGTGATCCACGATAACCATATACCACTTGTCTTCGTGTTTGAACAAGTCAACAGACACATTTTGCCACGGGTAATCCGGGACAGTTCTCGGAATCAATGGTTCACTGTGATTAGTTGAGTTCTGAATACACACTGGACACGATTTGATTTTCCTTTCTATTTCTTGAGAAATTCCAGGCCACCACATGGTTCCCAAAGCACGTTTCCTTGTTTTTGTGATTCCCAAGTGTCCACTGTGAAGCCTCTCGAGCATTTCCGCTCGTAGTTCTTGAGGTATTATCATCCGAGTTCCTCGAAGCAATAGCCCATCAATACAACTTAACTCGTCTTTCACATTAAAGTACTCTTGAATCTCATTAGGTAAACTTGATTTTACAGGCCATTCGTCTAAAATTTGTAACTTAAGTTGTGCACAGATTGGATCTCTCATTTGTGAGTGAAGTACCTTTGTCACATTTTCATCTGTAGTGTTTATACTAATCAGACTGATTTCGTGGACGAAGGCTTCCACTTCTTCGGTCAATTCGCCATCTTCGTCAGCCGGAATAGGACTTCTTGATAGTAGATCTGCTATGGCAAGGTCTTTTCCTGGGGTCCAGGTCATGCGATAATCGTATCTCATCATACGCATTCGGAACCGCTGTAGCCTCGGTGAGAGCTCGTCCAAATTTTGTGTTTTGAAAATTGAGACAAGCGGTTTGTGGTCGGTCTCAATTGTGTACATTTTACCCATCAGGAAACATTTCAAACGGTCACTTGCCCATGTGCACGCAAGCGCTTCTCTCTCAATGTTACTGTAGTTTTCTTCAGCAGGCGTTAGAGTCCGAGATATATATGCCACAGGTTTCTTGTTTTCTCCTTCAACTTGAAGTAAAACCGCTCCAAGACCTTTTTTTGAAGCATCGCAAGAAAGAATCGAGGGTTTTTGCGGATCGTAAACAGTCAAACATGGCTCTGATGATAAAATCTGTTTTACTGTGACAAAAGCGTTTTCTTGAGCTGGTCCCCAAAGGAAATCGTTTTTAGTCTTTAACAAGCTCGTAATTGGCTCAAAAATCTCACTGCGGTTCGGAATAAATTTTGCCAGAAAAGTGATCATGCCCATGAATCTTTGTACTTCATTAGCGTTTCTTGGAGCTGGTAAGTCCACAATCGCTTGTACCTTGCTTGGATCAGGCTTGATTCCGTCCTTAGACAGCACAAACCCCAGAAATGTCACAGTCTTCTTGCAGAACTCCGACTTCTGCTTATTCAAGGTGATTCCATTAGCTTGCACTCTCTCTAGAACGGCCCTAAGACACTCGTCGTGTTCTTCTTTCGTTCTTCCCCATATCAGACAGTCGTCAATGTGCACTAAACAGTTCTTTGCCCCTTCTAAAGCTTTTGACATGCGGCGCTGAAACTCTTCAGGAGCGGACGTAATTCCAAAAGGTAACTTACGGAATTTATACCTCCCAAAAGGGGTGATAAATGTTGTGTAATCTTGTGACTCCTCTGCAAGGTTCAGTTGCCAGAACCCGGAATTCGCATCGATCTTGCTGAAGTACTTAGCTCCCGCGATCTCGGCCAATGAAAGTTCGATCTTTGGGATAGGATAAAACCGACGTTTCACATTGTTGTTGAGTTTGGATAGGTCTACGCAGATCCTAACCCCACCTCCCTTTTTTGCGCAAACTACCATTGGTGCGCACCAATCAGTCGCGTGTTCAACTGGAACAATCACTCCTTTCTCAAGCATATCGTCTAACTGCTCTTTCACCTTGGTTTTTAAAGGTATTGGTACAACCCTGGGGGTGGATATAGCGTAAGGAACTGCATTCTCCTTCATTTCAATCTTGTACTCTCCTTTCATATTTCACAGCCCTTGAAATAAATTAGGATACTTAGTAGCCCAGTCAATATCATGTGAATCTACAGAAAAAATTCTCCTCACCAGGTTCAGCTCTTCACAGGAACGTCTGCTAAGAAGTGGAACAGTGATCTCCTCAGAAATATACGCAAGATCATAAACTGATACACCCTTATGTTCAAGCTTTAGCCTTAAAGTTCCCAAAATATTAATTCGTTCTTTCTTCTTTGCGCTAAACACAGGAGATTTGAACTTTCCTAGAGGCAGAGTCTTAATAAAATCACCAATAACTCCTACTGGAATCATGGTTACATCAGCTGCTGTGTCAAGTTTAAATTTTATAAGACCTAAATCTTGGTTTCCACAGCTTGCTTTTACCTCCTGGACCCAGGCTTTGTCACTGCTGTCTATATTCCCTATGAAAATCTCAGGAACCTGTTGATAACCACTGTCTGAATATTGCTGTTCGATTTCCTTAACAACGTTTTTGTTTTTTCTCATCCACTTTTCGCGGGAGGGACAACATCGAAAAAAATGTCCAATCTCGGAACATTTGTCACATTTGGCTTTCCTAGCAGGGCATTCGGCCAGTGATCCGTGCCAGTTATAACCACATTTCCTGCACTTTTTTCTCATAGCATCCTCGGTGAATTTCTGTTCACCAGCTCTTTCAGACAGATTTGTTTTACCGACTTGTATTGACGTTTGATTCACCATAAAAACATTAGTATTGGCGAGCTCACGTTTTTGGCGTTCTAGCTCCTCGTGTTGGCGCAAGGTATTAATCGCCTTCTCCAGAGTCAATTGAGAGTCCAGCTGGAGTCTATCACTTAGAGCCTCATCTTTCATACCAATAATGAGGACCAGAAGCACCATCTCATCGTTCAGTTCACCCCATGCACACGTTTTTGCAAGACCATGCAAATCTGTTATGAATTTTTCAGATGGATCACTCCCTTGCTTGTGTCTCAGAAATTTTGTTCTCTCATAAATGATATTTCGTCTTGGCACAAAGTATGCATCAAAGGCCCGAAGAGCCTCGTCATAAGTATTCGGTTTTGGTGAAAACGAATCGAAAATATCTTCACTCCTACTACCCATTGTAAACAAAAGTACATCGATTTGCCGAGCGTCGGAAGTGCTATCTAGACCGCACCCCCGTCTGTACCTTTGAAAGCGATTCCTCCAGGAATGCCACTCATTCGGAGTAAAAGAGAAGGTATCTGGAGTTGGTAACGTCAGATTTATCATAGGAGTAGGAGTACACATTACTGCATTATTTTCTCGGTTTGTCTGTCCCAATGCAAAACCTAGTGACTCACCTTCAGTCTTCCTAGAATCCCTTTCTGACATGTAGTTGAATTCACTTTGGGCATCCTCCTCATTGTCCTCATACCTTTGCCTACGAGTATTTCGTTTTTTTCTGCCCTTACTTGACATCATGCGTGGTTTTAGACTTTGTTCGATAAAAAATCCACTAAGCTGCCACCATGTTCTATTTCTTATACAAGAATATTATTCACACATCTTGCTTGAACAAACTCTATTTTCAAACTAAACTAATGTTTACAAACACATCTGACAACAAACATATTTAAACACATGATAAAAGGAACAGACTTAATACAACAGGTCCTAAAATTGTTTTTCTTACAATAAACAACAACTGATTTTAATAATAATTTTTATGAACAAAGTTTAATTAAATACTAATAAGCAATGCAAAGTGTGTTTGAACTGCAAATTAATTAGTTTTATGCAAAGTAATAAAAAAAGCCTTAAAAATCTAATTCAATTATTATACAATAATTTATGTCATAATGTTCGCAATTAAAGAACATTTGTACAGTTATAGTTCATTGTTAATCTAAAAATAAATCTTTCCAGCCTATACAATAAAGACAAAATTGAATGTTTTCCACTTTCCCTTTTGTTTATTTTTTTTTAAGCCTACAACTTGTTGTTTACTTAGAATACAGCTATGAATGAAATAATTCTTTTCATTCATAAAGCAAACAATATTTTTAATGAATTGGATACAATGAGCTTTGTATGTTTATCGGGACATTCTTGAGTTTAGTAAGAATATTATAGAAAAAACATTCATAATGTGATTGTTTTACCATCGAGTATTGTGTCATTACTGTCTCGTTTCATGATTACTAAGTTTGTAACTTGAATGTTATTTTAAACGTAAACAAGTCGTAACTTAATATTTGTCCTACTAAATAAGCCTTTGTAATAATTGTTGAAGTTCTAAGCTTCCTGAATTTTCAAATAACCTGCAACGTAAATTGGCCAAGAGAATATCAATGGAAAGAAACTCCAACACAAACAGATCTCAGACACAACATTCCATCACACCCTGAGGCCGGTCTCAATTGTGTATTTATAGTTGTTACTTGTTCATTCTCTGATTGTAAAGTAATGGAGCTTAGAATTTAAACAATACGACCTTTTCTTGACATAGAAATAATTAACTAATAATTAGACTACATGTAGAAGTATATAAATTAAAACTGAAATAAAATCAAAGCGTTTTGTTCTAATTTCAAAAGCCTGATTATTGGTATAAAAGAATCATACTGCAACTTGAATGTTGAAATTCTTTATTCAGTTTAAAAGTTAAATATATGTTAATATATATTTATTTGTATGTATGTATGTATGTATGTATGTACATATATTCTTAAGTATATACAGTGAAATTAAAAACAAAGTTTCTTAATACAATTATTACACAAACAAGGGAGGATTACGGAAAATCAATTCCTTTCTACATGCAGGTTTAAAAGCTCAATGTGCCTTGACAAATATTTAAAAGTACTTCCTTTTAATTCATTTACGACATTTATTTCCTAACTCATCTGTAAAAATCAAGCAAATTGGGATACTCTACTTATTCCCCACTTTTGCCGCATAAGGTTAGCATAAAGTTTTAAGTTTACTCATTCTCTTACGACAGATAAGGACAATATATTTTTGTATTCATACTCATTTGGTTCGCATAAGTTAAACTCGCCTTTGGTTTGCTGGGCGCTCCGGCCCCGGCCGCCTTTTAATTTAAGGTGCCTTCGGGGGACAGGATGTTTTCCGGAAATGTTTTCTGCTTAAACAACTAATGACATATTAGCAGTTACAAAGTATTTCATATAGGAGTTCAGTATTTATCAGGGAATCAAACAGGTCAAGACAAATTAGACCTATTTGTTAGAGTTCCGATGTAAATTTGATGCTCTAATACTTGAATTCTCTAAGGCATTAACTGTAAAACTATTTTTAGTTCAACTAATATAGCAATGATGATACAATCCCAGGGGTTAGGGGGAGGTAACCATATTTTAGTTAGTCTTAGGCCTCCTTCAGTGGCAGGGGGGAGGGTTAACACAATTGGTGTCAAGACATTTTGAAATGTCTTTTTAATTTTCTGGGTGGTTTGGGACCTAGATTGAACTCCACAAAAAACTTCAGATCTCCAGCTATTCTAGAAGTGGGTAAAAATGTATACCTGATCAGTTATTTACACATCGGGCTGTATAGTTAATTAGAAAATAAGAAAATAAAATGCTATTTGCAGTATCCAAAGTAAATAATACGCCTGGTTCACTTAATAAATAGAATGTCTATTTACAGGTTCGAGGATCTAAAGTGAATGGTAGGCCTACGTCTGGTTTAGGTAAACGAATTGTTTACTTGCAGCACCCAAACTTAATATAGTACGTTTTGTTCACGTAAATGAATTGTCTACTTGCAGTATCCGAAATCAAAGGTACACCTGCTTCACATAAATGAGAAATCTACTTGCAGTATCCAAATACAATGTTCCATTTGCTTAACATAAATAAAATGCTATTTGCAGTATCCAAAGTAAATAATACGCCTGGTTCACTTAATAAATAGAATGTCTATTTACAGGTTCGAGGATCTAAAGTGAATGGTAGGCCTACGTCTGGTTTAGGTAAACGAATTGTTTACTTGCAGCACCCAAACTTAATATAGTACGTTTTGTTCACGTAAATGAATTGTCTACTTGCAGTATCCGAAATCAAAGGTACACCTGCTTCACATAAATGAGAAATCTACTTGCAGTATCCAAATACAATGTTCCATTTGCTTAACATAAATAAGATGTCTATTTGCAGTATTCAAAGTCAATGATACGTCGGGTTCACATAAACGGAATGGCTATTTAGAGTATTTAAAGTTAATGGTGCATCAGCCTTATTCAGGCGACCTTAATTATTAAAATAGTTATTCAAATTGTGCTCAATGATATTAATACGATTGTTCTTCTCTTTTTCTTTGTACGGTATTTGTAATGTGCTATTTAGATGATTCGTTGACTAACATATATGCGACTCCTGTTTACTTTTTTATTGTTTTCTCGCAAAAAATGTCATGACCACTAATTAACCCACAAGGCCATGTTGAATTTCCAAAAGTTTAAATTCACGTAGAGAAAAGCTCTGTGGTCCGATCTGTACGATTTCAGATTTATACCTTCCAATGGTTGGTTACTATCACTGTGCAACATTTTGTGCAGATCTCTTCAGCCGTTCAGGAGGAGTATTTGTAAAACAAGTGTAGTCAAGAGTTTCGCTTCGTTCCGCTCAATAAGTAAAAACATTCAAAATATTAAAACAAACACATACCAACCGGCACCCAGTTTGGCATCCAGTTCAGATCGCAGCAATGCCAACCGGTACCGTGGTGCGACAGGCCTGTTATTCGTCGAATTTTCGATAATTGTAAAATGTTGTTCATGTTATGTGTTTTGACAATGACGACGCTACTTCTTCAACTGAATGTTCCACGTCTGACAATGGCATTATAATACCGAAACGGCCGTAACTCAAGTTACAACAGTTTGAGCTGTAGAAGGTAAATACCTAATTTAAACACACACCGCTATTTTAATTACTGCAAACAAAACTCTATTCAATTGTTTTTTATACCTCCATGGGATATTATGAAAATCTAAATTCAGGTTTTGTATAGATACCTTTTAGTAGATTCTTTACCATTTAAAACTGTAAAAGATACGGATACTTTACGTTTAAAATGCATGTAGATTGGTCAACAATATCATAAACAGGCTCAGTGCATGACCCTTTCTTCTATTTTATAATTAATTACATTTAATACATTAGTTAGGCAAAACGTGGGCAAAACAAAGTGAAGTCCTCATACTCGGGTAAAAATAATGTTGTCCAAAATTTTTTTTTTTAAGATTTTTATACGAAAACGGTAAATAAATCTGAAACATTCGCCAAATTATACAAAATGTTATTATGAGTAAATTCAATTATAATATTTACGATGTACGAAAGTTTAAATTAAGTTTTTTGATAACAATTTCATGGCGTTTCAATGTAATATATACTACAATGTTTAAAATAAAACTTGTGAGGAAAAATAATTTATATCTCATTCATGTTTCCCCATTTACAACAGTTTAGATAACCTCAACGACCACAACAGAAACGTTCAAACTGCGATATGTCACGCACCAGCTGTGCCTCTCGCTGCCACATGACATCACTACGTACCACAACTACCACCACGAGTAAATATATGTCAATCCATTTCACTGATACATCACAAACCAGCTGTGCCTCTCGCTGCCACATGACATCACTACGTACCACAACTACCACCACGAGTAAATATATGTCAATCCATTTCACTGATACATCACGCACCAGCTGTGCCTCTCGCTGCCACATGGCATCACTACGTACCACAACTACCACCACGAGTAAATATATGTCAATCCAGTTCACTGATACATCACGCACCAGCTGTGCTACTATCTGCCACATGACATCACTACGTACCACAAATACCACTACGAGTAAATATACGTCAATCCATTTCAATAATACGTCAGGCACCAGCTGTGCTACTATCTGCCACATGACATTACTACGTACCACAACTACCGCCACGAGTAAATATACGTCAATCCATTTCACTGATACGTCACGAACAAGCTGTGCCACTATCTGCCACATGACATCACTACGTACCACAAATACCACTACGAGTAAATATACGTCAATCCATTTCACTGATACGTCAGGCACCAGCTGTGCTACTATCTGCCACATGACATCACTACGTACCACAACTACCACCACGAGTAAATATATGTCAATCCAGTTCACTGATACATCACGCACCAGCCGTGCTACTATCTGCCACATGACATCACTACGTACCACAAATACCACTACGAGTAAATATACGTCAATCCATTTCAATAATACGTCAGGCACCAGCTGTGCTACTATCTGCCACATGACATCACTACGTACCACAACTACCGCCACGAGTAAATATACGTCAATCCATTTCACTGATACGTCACGAACAAGCTGTGCCACTATCTGCCACATGACATCACTACGTACCACAACTACCACCACGAGTAAATATAC